GTCACTTAAGCTCGGAACTTCATCGAGTCACTCAAGTTAAGAACATCATCGAGTCACTTAAGCTCGGAACTTCATCGAGTCACTCAAGTTAGGAACTTCATCGTGTCACTCAAGTTCGGAACTTCATCGAGTCACTCAAGTTAAGAACATCATCGAGTCACTTAAGCTCGGAACTTCATCGAGTCACTCAAGTTAGGAACTTCATCGTGTCACTCAAGTTCGGAACTTCATCGAGTCACTCAAGTTAAGAACATCATCGAGTCACTTAAGCTCGGAACTTCATCGAGTCACTCAAGTTAGGAACTTCATCGTGTCACTCAAGTTCGGAACTTCATCGAGTCACTCAAGTTAAGAACATCATCGAGTCACTTAAGCTCGGAACTTCATCGAGTCACTCAAGTTAGGAACTTCATCGTGTCACTCAAGTTCGGAACTTCATCGAGTCACTCAAGTTAAGAACATCATCGAGTCACTTAAGCTCGGAACTTCATCGAGTCACTCAAGTTCGGAACTTCATCGAGTCACTCAAGTTAGGAACTTCATCGTGTCACTCAAGTTCGGAACTTCATCGAGTTACTCAGGTTCAGAACTTCATCGAGTCACTTAAGCTCGGAGCTTCATCGAGTTACTCAAGTTTGAGGTGAGATTTGTTAATTTCTAAGTCTATAATTCGATAAAAATAACTCCGTTGTAAAGTATCTCGTGTATTAATTGGATATTTGAATTTTGTTGCGACACACATGTATTGATTGTGTTGAAGAAATTATAATAGTGAGGACTCATACCCAAACACAGACCAGTATTGATTCTCCAGTGATCCTGTAAGGTGGAAGTACACTAAACCATTTAAATATTGTGACAAATAAACTAAAATAGCATATATATGAACCTAAACTATACGGGAGCATTTGCCTGGAGGAGTTTAAATATGTTAAATATTAAAAGTATTTATAGTTTGTTGTACTAACCAACTTGATAAGTATCGGTCTTCGAGCGTACAACTAAGGATAAATAGCTAACTGCCGTACTTGTGAGAATTGCATACAAGTAATGTGAATCATAATTCGTCGCAATTTACGTAAAACGTCAATTTATTATTATAGACATAATCAGCTGTCAAAAAATCGCATACGACCTCTGTTATCGAGACCGATGACATAACAGAATACCTGAGATACGCATGCAAATTCTTAGACGATATTGAAAGGTATTTAACATATGAGCTACCAAACTTCGTCAGGGTTATAAAAAAACAGCCAAATATCGAAGACTCATTTACTATTTGGCATGAGCTTGCAGGAATTTATTACAACTCATGAAAAAGCAGGACATTGTCATATGATATGCGCCTGTTCTCGTATTCACGAGTTTCCGCAAAAGAAAGTTGTACGGCGATCGTAATTATAGCTAGGGGGTATATGCATACGGAATGCGCGTATGCATATACTCCCTATACTATATACGCGCATAAAGGCCCAGAGTATACTCCCTATATACTCTGGGCATTTATGCGCGCATACGGAAATGCCCAGAGGCGCACACAATTTTCATGCCCAGTCTTATGATTTATTGATTTCTCTTTTGGGCTTGTGTTTCTTAGAAATCATTTTATATTTAATTACCGCCCAATCTCCATCCAGTACCTTAAATTGCTTCTGGGATCAACTGTTAATAATTATTTAAAATAAGATATTTGAATTTTTAAAAAAGTTGCAAAAATTTGCCTCGTTGTAAGATGCTCAAAGCTTCGGATGACGCTCCGTCGTTATCCTCTAGCCAAATAACGTTTATATACGTTTGATCGACGTAAATCCAACGTTTGAACAATGCTGATTCTACGTCAGATTCCTGACGAGTCAGGCATACAATGTAACCCTCCGGAAAACTCAACAACATGTTTGAATTAACATAACATAACACAGTAATGTAGGCACTGAAGAGTAGGCCTGATGTGGCCTGTCGCCGATTCTTGTACTTTTAGTGACCAGTTCAAGGAAGATCTAAAAACATGTCATTTGACCGGATCTTTTCAAGACAGACTATAGTTTAAAATTGCTACTAGACTTCCACCAGGTTCGATATGGTGCTAGGCGTTTCATGTCTGAGCATATTTTTCTCCATAACTATGTCTAGTTTGTTCTTGAACGCGTTCATACTTGGTGTGTCAACGATATAACCGGGAGGCTGTTCCACATGTCGGTGACACGAAGCGAGAAGAAATGTTGTCGCATGGATAAGTTACAGCGCAGTTTTTTTAGTTTATAGCCGCGCCGTGGCCCCTGGTGTTGGTTCTTGTTTCAAATTCTGGCAATCCTTCTGAGACTTTATATAAGCCATGAGTATACCTGCATACTTCAATGAGGTCACCACGCAAACGTCGATAACTGAGGCTTGGAAGCTTCATAATCTTTAATCCTTCTCCATAGGAATTGCCATTCCGGGAATTGTCCTTATGGCACGTCTTTGAACACTCTCTATTAATTTTTTGTCCTTTTCAAGTTTCGGTGACTACACAACGTTCCCAAACTCTAGGTTCGGGCGCTCGACAGCTACAAATAACAGCTTCGTCGCTTCTGCATCCAAGAACTCGTAGGAGCGTCAGATCAGTCCAAGAAGTTCGTTGGATTTATTAGTTTGCGTTTCAATGTGCTTAGAAAACTTAGGCTCTTTGTCGACCTAATCTCCCAAATCTTTTTTCACGCTAGACTTTTTAACCATTACTCTCTCGTTGCAACCGTGTCATCTCATACTGTAATCTTGCTGATCGTTGTTCTTGCCGAGGTGAAATTATTTACACTTGCTAGCGTTAAAACGCAGCTGTCACGTATCATCCCAGTTAGCTAAAATACCAAGATCATCTTGCAATTGTACTTTATTTGACGCATTATTGACTGTTTTATAAATTTTTTGTCATCGGCAGATGACACACACTATTTTTGGCTGATCGTATATAAAAACAACGAAAAAACAGGCCCAACTACGCTTCCTTGTGGCACGCCATTGCGCACTGATGCCCAGTCTGACACGGTTCCGTTAATACTGACACGTTGTCGTCTAAACTTACTAGAAAATCTCTGGTCCATTGGAGTACATTTCCCTCAATTCCCAAAGACTTCACTTTACGCAACAGCCGCCCATGCGGAACACGGTCAAATGCTTTGGCAAAATCGAGGTACAATGCATCCACTGGCTCTCTTTCGTCCAGCAGGCGAGTCAAATCGCTCAACGTAGATAATAAGTTAGTGGTGCAGGATCTACCGGCAATAAAACCATGTTGACAGTCTGATAGGAGATGATGAACAGTCAAGTGACCGATAATCCTATCCCTCACAACAGATTCCATTCCTGCATGCATATGAATTGAGATGAAAAAGGCCAACTGCATCTATTAGTAGTTGGCAATGTATATTTAACTGTTATATTTCATTGAAAATGTACATATACAGTATAAGAGTTGAAAGAATATTAGAGGGGAGTCGTCTCACTCCATTAACGGAGAAGAAGCCGTCTTACTCCATTGACGGAAAACAGCCGTCTTACTCCATTAACGGAGAAGAGCCGTCTTACTCCATTGACGGAGAACAGCCGTCTTACTCCATTGACGGAAAACAGCCGGCTTACTCCATTGACGGAGAACAGCCGTCCACTCCATTGACGGAGAACAGCCGTCTTATTCCATTGACGGAGAACTGTCTAACTGTCTAACTAATTACTGTCTAACTGCATTTCGTGGAGAATATATTAGATTAAGGCAGGCTAGGAATGTATTCTCACAGCCCTACAGTATTTAGTGGAGAAATATTAGACTAAGGCAGTCTAGGAATAGACCGTTAAACATTGGACGGAACAATCTTGACGTTAGTGATGTAAATCAACGTTGCTAACATCACTCATTTGTAACGAATAATTTTCCTAGAGGAGAAATAAGAGAAATTATTGTCGACGTGTGTCTCGAGGGCTCGTACGATATTCTTAATGCAAGCTACTATAAAAGTCAAGGAAGATCATCTAGACAATGGATGAATAGTGTGAGCAATAATATGGCACATTTGGCCACTGTGAATGATGAATAGACATTCATCATTTATCGATCATGGCAATCACTAGCTCGGCGTTCTTGTGGAGCGTCCAATGACGTAGAGCAGTTATTTATGAGAAATTATTTATGAATAACTTATTCCAAACGTCACAGTTATTTATGAAAAATTATTTATTAATAACTTATTCTTAACGTCGCAGTTATTTATGAGAAGTTGAATAAGGTTTTGTCTTGATCATTTTCGAGGCGGTATTTTATCAGAAATCGTTACAAGTTCGTAACTTCGTCAGATTTTCACTAACGGCTTTTCAGGCTGAGCCCACCAATCACAGACGAGAAATTGGCCGCTACGTACACTTAAGCTTCCAGGGAGTTGTGCAAGTGCGGTCTCTAGCAATCATACGGCACGATGACGTCATGCATCATGTACAATAAATTCCCCTGCTTCAAATTTTCTAATATTATTTTACAGTAATGTAATCTATTCAGCCAATCAGCAATTAAATTGGAATAAAACCAGTCCAAAATTAAATTTAAATAATTTCTCTCTTATTTAAACAAACAGTTTGCGGATAAGTGCTTGAATAGCCTCTGCACGTATACAGTGGAAGGCTTTTAACAAACTGATGAAAAAGCTTTCTGAATAATTCAATTTATGATTGAGGTATTACAGCTTCGCTGCTCCGCAGTCCGTTGTTATTCATGGTTCCACTGTTTAGTAGTTGAGTGAGCTGAACTTCTTGCCGTTCTATCCTTGTCGCGACTGAAGCTTGTGTCGCGACTGAAGCTGACATGGCGTCGTTGTTATTTATGAGCCTAGAACTCACTAAGTTATTTCTATTTTAGAGCTTTTTGTGTGGCGGGAGAAACATGGAATAACGACGTCCTTAGATTTATATTATGTGAATTGTTTCTTCTCCAGCTAAGTTCGTGAGCATAGAATATTGTCGCATATATTTCCGATCTATTGTTGTGGTGGTTCCATGTTCTGGCTGAACGCTCAACTTCAATTTCCAGTACAGATAGCGCATATATTTCGCTCAGTTCTCAGTCCCATAGAAGAGTTGTGATGCAAAATTGATTATATAATCACGGTGTGGACACGCCACTACTTAAAAATATGCCATATTTTTGCCGTTCGACAGACATATTATTCATTATAGCTAACGCTACACTACGGAGACGGATGAATTATTGGTCCAATATACTGTATATATCATATGTATAATATAATAAAATATAATAAAATATGAAAAAACAAAATAAATTGATGTGGCATTGGCCTCACTGAATATATTAATTCTCAAACCAGCGCTAGGAGACCAGATAAGAAATTAGTAATAAAAGGGATTCTGACGGTGACCAGCTAGACAAAGAATTCGTGAGAAAATATCAGGACATGATTGATTGCGTGTAATTTCGTATCAAATAATACGTGCTATTACAGCTGCCGGTCATTGTGCTTTATTGCTGTGCATTAAATGTATTTAGGGCTTCATATCAACATGCTCTACTGCCATCAAATGAATCAAAGTCTCATAATGATCAATGAAAGGTAAACATCGAACTGAATAGTAACTCAACATTCATTGATGCTGTTCGTGGACGCCAAAATTATTAGCTACACTTAAGCTGCATGATTTTGGTGCTGCTGGTTCTCTATAGACAAAATTGTAGACTTGAAAATGCAATTCATCTCTTGTTGAATTGCTTACCTTGACTGATCAAGACTTGTTGTATCTGATAAAATCCCTGCAATCGAGGTTTTTTAAACTTTTTTGCCTTAATCAATGATCCACCCGAGCACGCTATATAACCTCGAAGTATTTCAGACCTCCGTTGGGTAAAGAATTTTTGAAGATGTCATTTGATATTGATCGCGATATTTTTTCCTGGGCATTGAAATAGAGTGCTTTCTAAGAAATTATGCATTCAAGCTAACAATTGAACGCTTCATGCTAAAAAAGTCACCAGCATATAAAGTATATACATGAATAGAACTGTTTTTTTCATTTACACACAACCATTGCACGAAAACATCCATTGACGGCGATTGCAAAACAGTGAAAACAGTTTAACTAATTTGATAAATTTCTAGGAAAGATTGGACTGTCTTTTAAGTGCGTGCTAACGGAGGTTGAGAATAATGTCACAACGTCACCTCATCGAAACATTTCAACTCAGGTTATTATAAAACGCATTGTTCAAAAAGTTTTTAGCTTATCAAAATATTTTAACGATCTCGGGCTTTATACGCAGTATAGAGACATTTGAACGATTTTGATATCCCACGAAGTTGTCACGGACCAGGTATACTCAGGTATTTAGTAACATATTATAACAAAAAAGCCGCTTAACAAGAAATAGTTTCAGCAGTAATCGACCAGCTGAACATTTAGAATTCTTTTAACATGGCAGTAAATTGCTTAGCATTCTTGCCTAATTTATGGCTTTACCCTCGCAGTGCGTCAAGCTTATTCGCAGTCTACGTCTTATCCGTACATTAGTATTACTTCAAATATAACTCAACATAAATATGAATACTAAGTTCATTTGTCAATATTTATAACGCGGCTGCCAATAAAAAACAATTTACTGTTTCTGACGTTAACATCAATATGTTTTGACTCTCTGTGTTTTTTTCTCTAACGTAAAGGAACCCTATTTTCTAAATTTCAGCAAGTGTTTAAACGATTGCGTAATTGATAAGAAGCGCACATAATATGATACGCTGCCGTTCTCCGGACACCACATAAATTTTTATTTAATTAAGGGCGTTGGAAAAGTTCAAGCCAAAAAATTTATGGAACTTCTACATATTTCCTATGTAATTCAGGCAATGGAGCTTTGGCTGCTGAAGCTGCTGGTGCTTGCTGGTCTGCGGGCTGGGCTGGTGCGAGCCGCGGTCTACGTTGAGACCCTCGCCAGCACGAAGCTGTCCCACTTCGACAGCGAGTTCAACGTCGCTTCCTCATGTGAGCCGCTAGAGTAGAGGAAAGAGATGGCATATAAGGTATAGCAGTTCAGAACACTTCTGGTTAAAGTAGCATATGGGAGTATACATGTCTACGAATAAAGATAAGATGGAAACGAGGGTTAAAATCCTCTTATGCTCATAAAAATTATGCTACTTTTCATTGCGCGGAAATAAACAAGTCTAGTGAATATGAAGCTCAGTGGGCGATTGATGAGTAAGCATTGAGCTGCGGAACGTGAAGTTCGAAATCGAGAGAAGCGAGGGTGAAAAGCAGAGTTCCGCAGGGCTCAGTGCTTGGACCGATCCTCTTCCTCATCAACATTGCCGATATTGACACGGAGCTTTATATACACGCATCCACATCGACATTTGCGGACGGAACGATGCAAGAGTGCTGATGAAGATCACAGATGACCTAGACAGCGAGAGGTCACAGGATGACTTGTCGACAATCTACGATTGGGCTCTAGTGAACAATATGCAGTTCAACGGCACCAAGTTCGAAGTAATGAGATACAGAGTCCGCACAGAGATCGGAATGCCACATCGCTACTTGGCATCAGATGGAACAGAAATTGAGGAGAAGCAACTAGTTCGAGATCTCGGAGTGTTGATGAGTACCGAAGCCACGTTCGATGCCCATATCGAGGAAATAGTCGCGCGAAGCCGTCAACAGATCGGATGGATCTGGCGGAAAGTTCGAGCAAAAGAAGCAGCACCAATGATCATAATGTTCAGAGCCCTCTTACTCCCCAATCTTGAGTATTGCTGCCAACTTTGGTCGCCACTCAAGGCGGGTGCGGTGCGGAAACTGGAGGCAGTGCAGCGGACCTTCACGTACAGGATAGTGGCATGAGGGAGCTGAACCTGAACTACTGGGGAAGGCTGAAACACCTGGAACTGTACTCACTGGAGAGAAGAAGAGAAAGGTATATCATACTGTACACTTGGAAGATGATAAATGGACTGGCTCCCAATTTAGAGAGTCAGACCTCCAGAATAGTGGCACGTTACAATGAAAGGAGGGGGAGAACGTGCAGGGTTCCCCCATTTAACAACCGAGCCGCGGCCAGAGTACAGACTCTTCGTGAGGGAACACTGTCCGTGGTAGGACCGAGGCTCTTTAATGCCTTGCCAAAGGAAAGGAGAGGAGTTCACCCTTGCAACTTAAAAGAGACGACTGGACAATTGGTTGAGAAAGATCCCAGACTGTGCAGTAATGGGAAACTACCCTCAGCAAGAGACAAGCAACAGCATCTTGCATCAGCTGGCCCAAAGGAGGGCAAAGAGACGGAACACGTCCAACGTTACATCCGGGACCCGAGGGCGGGTTGACCTGCCTAGCGACGACTCGGAGACGGAGGACGACGAAGGCGGCGAACCCGAAGTTCGGAACTAGGAAGTCCCGAACTCATCATAAGGTTATAAGGTCGTCTGACCGTCTAACGGGAACTTTTGTAATTTCTCTAAATTGATAGTTCGAAACATGCCCACGGAACTTGAAAATAATTAATTAACTTATGTTTAAACCATATCTAATTATCAGAAAAGTAAATTAAGCTACGGCGAGATACTCAAAACTCAAATGACTTTAGGAGTTCCGAGGGTATTAGTGAATGAAATTTATGTGGTACTGTTGGATTCATATTTTGGCTGTTCATTTATGAATGTGCGTTCATCCATCATGGAAATTTTACTCTTATGCTATTAATCATAATTAGTAAATATCTTCCTACATAACCATCACAACACGTACATCTTTTGCCGCAACGCAGGCGAGTGTAAAATCCGGTGCGCGGTGCAGCCGACGTGCCTCGCAGTCTCGTTCAAGTCGCCCGATAAATGCGGCACCTCAGCGGCCTCCGCTGCCACCGTCGAGTACAGCGCCGAGGACCAGAGCATCACGTGGTTCAAATACGGTCAGACTTTGTTGAGCACGTGGTTCAAATACGGTCAGACTTTTCCGAGCACGTGGTTCAAATACGGTCAGACTTTGTTGAGCACCTGGTTCAAATACGGTCAGACTTTGTTGAGCACCTGGTTCAAATACGGTCAGACTTTGTTGAGCACGGGGTTAAATAGGGTCAGACTTTGATTATTGTAGGGTGTCGTGAAGGGAAGTGTAAGCGGACCAGTATATCGCTGAAGAAGGAATGTTTTTAGAGAAGTTTAAGCAAACCTAAAAGGTTAATTTGTATTCGTCAGACCTCGATTGCTGAAGCTGCCCTATTGAAAATATTTGCGAGTTTGTAACTCCGTCAGTTAGTTTCGAACAGCTTTTCAAGCTCTCCAGCAAGATCCACCAATCACAGACAAGAAATCGAGCGCTACGTGTTCTTAGGCTGCAACGTTTACTTATAGAAGTTTTGACGGTTGGTCCCCTGTTAATTGCTTAATTTGAGTGGTACAGAGAAGAGGTGGGTTGGTGGTTGATTAAGTTCTAAGGTCGGGACTTGATGAAGTAGTGACATGGTTAGCAATGCAAGTGGACCAATGGAGGAAAGTTGCATAGCGGGACTGTGTTGATTATTTGTTTTGAGACAACCATAACATAACGGAAAAAATTTCTAATTAAACTAGAAGATTTTCATTTTCCAGCTTTGCCCAAATCAAGCACAACAGTGGTCAAATTCTACAAAACCAACGAGACCACAACCAATTTTTCGATGTCATCGATGGTTTCTCTATGCCAGAGAAGTGGCGGTGTCCCTGGTGACATCCTGACAGCGGACGACTTGGCAAATGTCAAAGCGAACGTCGGTACGTGAAAATTGCCAAGAAAATTCTATAACACATCTGTACTACGTTGTAAAATAAGGCATTAGCTTGTTTGTTTGTAAGTCTGTCTGACATATGGTACGTTTAATACCCCATATGCTTGGAATGCAAAATTATCTATTTTAGAAGGCAGTCACCCATACCGTATGTCAAGCGGGTGGTAGGTGGTGAGACTGATAGAATGGGTTCATTAGATGGCATATTATTGAAAATAAGTGTTGCTCTGTTATGAATTTATCAGTTGTTTTAATGTACGAGTCTGTGAGATTTGAAAGCATAACAAAAACTACCGAGAAATTCTGGGTCAGCCTGAGAACAATTCCTCCCGAGCAACACACGGGCAGCCAGAAGAGATGAAAACATTAAATTGTCGTCTTGTACGTTCAGATTCATCTTCCTAATTAAATATCGTCGTGGACTTTGAGGCTAACTTGGGTTTGACACCAACTGACAACATATTCCTCACAATACACTAATATTTCTTTGTTGATGCTTATCTTCATGACCCTAGAGACCACTACGATCTATGTTATGCTCACCTTCATGACCCTGTTGACCACTACGATCTATGTTATGCTCACCTTCATGACCNGAATAACAATACCTCAATATAAATTAAAGACTGCCACTCAATATATTTAAATATATGAAAAAATCAAAAAAATCAAAAAAATCGAAAAAATAAAAAAAATCATGATTTTTTATAAAAAAATCAAGTGATTTAATCACGTGATTTAATCATTTTGATTTAATCATTGCCAACCCTGACTACAATCTGTGCTTTACGCAATCAAGCAGGCAATGAGTTTTTGTACCCTTACTCGGGTTAAACGATGCTAATTAATAACCATTAATAGCCATTCTAACTAGTTATAAGGCCTGTCTGTTTATTACTCAATGTTATAAACAATTCGGAATATTTAGTGCAGTAATTGATTGAAATCATTTTTTTGCATGGCTCCAGATCTCACATGGTCCGTAGTATTGACTCCGGCAACTCTGACCGGCGGCAAGTTCGTCTGGAGCAACGGAGAAGAAGTCACCGCATCTGGAGTGTTTAAGAACGGGACTACGTTCATCGACGCTTTTACAGGTTATGGACCATATGTAATGATGGACTCTACATACAAGCTCTTGAGGTGCACGCAGGTGTCAAAATATATCCCTTTCCCTGTTCTTTGCAAGAAAATTTAGATTAGTGTAGGAGTTAAGAATTTAAAAGCAAAGAAAATGGCCAGAAAATTTATCATTTCCTCAAATGAGAAAACGTTCAGGAGTCCAGCTCCATCGTCACTTCAAGATCCTATAAGACAAGCAGGATTAATTAGAAAACTAAAACAAAAAAAAAAAAAAACAAGAACAAAAGAATAATTCATTTTTATTCACCAATTACCTTCTGAATGTAAATCAGCACCTCGTGTTGACGAATAACTTTAAAATGAGCACGTTCTTCACGTATAAAGACACTCTCCCGCTTTTTATACATTCGTCGTTAGTTTATCGGTGCTGACGTCTCGCAATTTTTATACTAGGCTGGCGGAGCAGAATGTCCCCTTGAAATTGTAAATAGTTAGGCCTATCACCTCGTTTTTATTTATTTTTTCTTTTTTCAATTTAGTTTTTATTTCCAATGCGAATTATAGTTTTCTAATTAATGGTTCCTGCTTGTCTTATGGGATTTTGAACTGATGATGGAGTTGGACTCTGAATCGTTTTCTCTTATAAAGAAATGGTAAATTTTATGGTTATTTTCTTTACTTTTAAATTCTTAGTGAATTTGCGACTTAAGCAGTCAAGTGATCTTACTGAATGAGTTTTGTTGAAAGCATTAATCGTAGAAGTGACTAGAAGGGCCAGTCTTGACTACGTTATATAAGAGTTGTCAGCGAGTTACACTGAGAGGTGAAATAGGTCAGATGTGAATAAGTCTTGTATAACATGTAGTATGGATAACCATGCACTATGATGCATGAGAAAATTGATTACACAGATGCATAATCGAGTTATTTATGTGAAAAATAGTACGATAAATCATTAGTAAGATGTTTGAATTAATAACACAATCATTGAGTAGTAGTACTCATTGATTGTGTTATTAATTCGAACATATTACTACTCATTAATATTGTGTTATTACGAACATATTACGTAATATGTTCGAATTAGTAACACAATCAATGAGTAGTAATATGTTGGAAAAAAATAATACAATGCAATCAATCACTAGCACTGTGTTTGAATTATTAATACAAACAGTGTTAATTTATTTCATTTAATATCGCAATCAATCACTAGTGATCTGCTTGAAATAATCTCACCAGTCGTCGCAAATAATCATTTTGAATTATTATGATATGTAACCACTTGTATTCTGTTTGAATTAATACGACATGTAACCACTAGTGAACTGTTTTAATTAATATGATATTTAACCACTAGTAGCCAGTTTAAGTTAACATGACATGCAACCACTAGTAGTCAGTTTGAATTAATATGATATGTAACCACTAGTAATCAGTTTGAATTAATATGATATGTAACCACTAGTAATCTGTTTGAATTAATATGACAAGTAACCACTAGTGATCTGTTTTAATTAATATGATATGTAACCACTAGTAGCCAGTTTAAATTAATATGACATGCAACCATTAGTAGTCAGTTTGAATTAATATGATATGTAACCACTAGTAATCAGTTTAAATTAATATGATATGTAACCACTAGTAATCAGTTTGAATTAATATGACATGTAACCACTAGTGATCTGTTTGAATTAATATGGCATGTAACCACTAGTAATCAGTTTGAATTAATATGATATGTAACCACTAGTAACCAGTTTAAATTAATATGATATGTAACCACTAGTAAGCGGTTTGAATTAATATGACATTTAACCACTAGTAATCAGTTTGCACTAGTCTCACAAGTAATCACTGGTAGTCTATTTGAAATCGTGTAACCGTCAATCACAAGTAATCTGTCTGAAGTCATATAACAGGAAATAACTATTAATAAATTAATTACTAATGCGCGAATCTCATCATTTGTTTCAGAGCTCATCCCTAACCTAACCTAATCATGCTAATCCTACCTAACACAACCTTGCCTAACCTAACCTAGCCCTTACTATACTTACTATATAACAACACTAGCCTAATCTATATATAACCTTACTAAACAGAACTTCGCCTAACCTAACCTAGCCCTAACTATAGGTGCTTGTACACGGGGATAGTGCAGGCGGCTAGTAGATCTGACAGTTGCCAAATGTCTGCCGCTTGGTGTCAATCCCGCAAGGAAGCTTAGACACGAGGCAAGTTTAAGGTGTTGCCGTGCCGATGCCAAATGTCTGCCGCTTGGTGTCTATCCCGCAAGGAAGCTGTGGTGTCTATCCCGCAAGGAAGCTTAGACACGAGGCAAGTTTAAGGTGTTGCGTGCCGATGCCAAATGTCTGCCGCTTGGTGTCTATCCCGCAAGGAAGCTTAGACACGAGGCGAATTTAAGAGGCCCGTTCAGTGACGCTCCAACTCTAAACTCGGCACACTGGGCGAAAGCAGTGTAAATTTCAGCGGCAGCGTCTGGCAGCGTAGTGACGTGGCCGAAGGTGCGCGAGAATATTGAAGTATGAGCTGCACATTAATTGTGCATGGATTTTTTTAGTTACGTCGAGGCAAATATTTTCATTACTATGTATTTAAATTCTCTCTATTTCCCGAGTTAGCACAAAATTTCTCATCTTCACTGCAGACAGCGGCTTATTTTTCACTAATAGATAAACCGTTCACTACCGACAGGAGAAATTCAGTGCACTGCGAACAGTGTCCACCGGTCTATTCTGATCATTCAGACTGTTCACGATTATTTGCAACTACGATCATTTAGTTTCTTACTCAAATATTGGCTGGCTCAAAAATACGTTCGCACATTGAAGAAAGCCATAAAACTATAGTGTAAGTCGATAAAATTATTTAATTACATTCCTGACATCGATCTCTTCACTTATCGAATGATTTCCTAAAAAATAATCACATGATTACTTTGGGAGGCAGATGAGAGCTTTCTCTTCTCTTGGCTAGGCCCAACTGGCCGTGCTCATTTCCCCAAAACAGAGGGGAGGAAGGAACGGATAAATAAACCGAGAGTTGAGGAATTCGCCTGCTGCGCTCAACCCCATGAGGCTCAGCCCAATTCCCTCCCTACCTCCAAATTGTTCGGGCATTGTCCTCCCCTACCTCAATCGTCTTCTGTGTTATTATCTCAGCCGGCTATCGTTGCCTCAACAACGCTGCCGAGGGATGTGGTATACGGTATTGCCGTACCAAATTGTCACGGCATATACTGTGCGCTGTAAAAATACCGTCAAAAGTTTAGCAATAAAGACATACAAAAAATTCTATCTACAAATTATATTTTACAGTCGCATTCACGGACTTTCGAAGTCCGCGCTACGCTACCAAAGCAGAACTGCGTGTATAGACTCGAGACAACAGCGAGCATTGTGTAACTGAGGACAACGGTGGAGAGGATGAGTGGGGTAGGTGAGGGTTGAGAAGCCACGAAGCCTACGAAGTGCACACACAAACGTTCCTACGATGTGTATACACGCAAACATGCGCAACGATAGGGTGGAGCATTTTAGACTATAGGCTGATTCCTTCATTCCTTCATGAACAGAGGGATTCCTTCATAGCATGGTCCAAAGCTCCAGAAATTCGGACATACATGAGCCTGTTTATTGAGTTCGTGAAAGAATTTATGCAGGATTAACCAAGAAGCACTGCTTACGCGGGTAATTTGTCGGCGGGATTTTCCTAACCACAGACTACACAGGAATTCGAGCGGGAAGGATGTCTCTTCCCCTCTCAAAGCTCACCCTCATCCCATTCCCTACCCACCCAAATTGTAAACAATCATCTTTGTTTTAAACCTAACAGCCGACAACAGTGTGAGGCTGTGAGATTTATACCACTACCACTCCGACAAAACAACATAAAAAATCTACAGTAATCATCAATAGCACTAAGGTCACGCTCATCATCAATAGCGGTACAGTCACGGTCATAGTCAGTAGCGGTACGGTCACGGTCATCATCAGTAGCGGTACGGTCACGGTCATCATCAATAGTGGTACGGTCACAGTCATCATCAGTAGCGGTACGGTCACGGTCATCATCAGTAGCGGTACGGTCACGGTCATCATCAATAGCAGTATGGTCACGAACATCATCAGCAGATTTACGACAAGCAAGTTCGAACGAGGCATAATCGTTAGGGAAGACAGAGCCACCATTCCGAAGAACGGTTGTTATAAATTGAACGTTTCGAGATTTGACATCTTTATCAAAGTTGAGACAACAGCTATAAAGACAGGTACTGAGAAAGGCAGCCGCGGGGATGCGTGGCGACCGCTGTAGTACGGTTTCTGTTAAATACGGCCGCGAAGCTTTAACGTAAGGAACGGTCTTTTAGGACAGTCTTACTACTCAACGGAAATGAGCATCGGATCAACATTTCTGCTAAATAAGAAATTCGAGTGATTTAAAGTGATGGATTTCCAACTTTGATTGTATTACCCTTTTCCTTTGCTAGAGATTTTGTTTTACTAGAGATTGAAAATTTGCATATCGACATGAACGCTCCATTGATTGCATTGTTGTTTGAATTGTGTTGTTTATGCATTCGTTTGCTTCATATTTTGAAACGCAATTAAGATTATTTCTCCGTAATCATCGTAACGCATGCCATTTATTTACGACCAGCTTAAAAATATTTACATATTATTGACTATGCATGCAAACATGTATTGTCAGTCTTGGCCTTTTGGGAGGGTGGAAAAATGAGAAAAATGGGAAAAACGCGCATAAAAAAAACTAAGGGGAAAATAAGAAAAGTGCTCATCAAATCGATAGGGATGGTCTTTACAAACCGAATGATACGTGTCTCGATATTGTAGGATGATATTTGTAGGAGGAAATAGATTTTCTAAAGTACCCTTTTTTAGCCGTTTTCTATGAATTTCTCGTTTTCTATCAATTTTTTCGAAAAATTCATATGAGCAAAATGTTATTTTTTTACATTTTACGTATGTATTTGAAGTTTCATGATGATCGGATAATAACTGTAGAAGTTTTTCCGGAGGGTAGTCGGTCCCCTTAAACTTGCCTCGTGTCTAAGCTTCCTTGCGGGATTGACACCAAGCGGCAGACATTTGGCAACTGCATGTCAGATCTATACTAGCCGTCTGCACTATCCCCGTGTACAAGCACCTTATATAACAACCCTAGCCTAATCTATATATAACCTGACTAAACTGAACTTCGCTTAACCCAATTAACCTAGCCCTTACTATATAACAACCCTAGCCTAATCTATATATAACCTGACTAAACAGAACTTCGCCTAACCTAACTAGCCTTACTATATAACAACCCTAGCCTAATCTATATATAACCTGACTAAACAGAACCTCGCCTAACCTAACCTAGATCTGACTATATAACAAATTTAGCTTAATCTATATTTAACCTGACTCAAAACTA